AAACTCCTTTTTAAAATTTATCAATTACCATTTACTTTCAGTTATATTTGATATTGGTTTCAAGTGTACAGGTTAGACAATCATAGTCATAGGGATGTAAAGTATCAGGAATATAGTCAATAATAGTGTGATAACTATGTATGGTGCCAGCTGGGTACTGGTAATAGTGGGGGAACACTTTGCAAAAAGGTAAACTCTTGAATGTGGCGGTCCAGGCACAGAGAACCAGTGGATCAGAAATTCCAAGAGGGCAAACAAAACAAAACTGTGTGCCTGGTATGGCAGACAGAATCTGAAGATGCCCGCACACCCCCTATCAAGAATCCCATCCCTTTGTTTTTTAATCACATCCTAATGTAGGTAGTGCCAGTAGATACTGCATATGTAATTAACAACCCAAGTCAGCTGACCTTAAAATATGGAAATCAACCCACTGGGCCTGAGCCAATCACTTGAGCCCTTTGAGGCCTTGGAAGTAGAGACAGATAGCCCAAGAGGAAGTGAGGAAAATGAAAAGCCATAAGGAAGATGCCACTGTTGCCTTTGAAGGCAGAGGTACCATATCATGGGAATGCAGGCAGCTTCTAGCTGAGGACTGCCCAGGCCTAGAGCCAACATGAGGTGGAACCTCATTCTTATAACTCATGAATCTGCCAACAACCTGAAGGAGCCTGGAAGTGAATTCCTCCTCAGGGTCTCAAGGTAAGAGCCCCACCCAGCCCACGCCTTGATTTTGGCCTTGAGCAGAAAACCCAGTATTTGACATCCAGAATTAGGAGCTAATACAATGGGTGTTGTTTCATGCCACTAGGTATGGGGGTAATTTGTTTTGCAGCAATAAAAAATTAATACACAACAACAGACACAGAATAGCTTTACTATTCTTTCCCCAAACTTTAAAATTATTTGGTAAATTCATTGGTGTATCTAAACTGTCATCGGTAAGGAACACTCTAGCGCAAAACCGTCTCCCACACACGGAGGCTGTGGCTGTGAATGGCCACAGAGGACTAGGGCTCTCGTCTTTCACCATCCAGGAGGGGGTTCAAACCACATGTGTGGCTTATGGCCACAAAATTGAGAAAGGACTGCTACCCCAAATAGAGACAGACAACACAGCTTCTTGGCATCCTTTTTCCAAAATAAGCCCCCAAAATAAAATTTTTAAAGTATTTTGGGAAAAAATTGAGAGAAATATTTGGAAATCCAATGGTGTCTTTCAAGTCCACTCATTTATTTCTCCTATGCCATCTACCTATTCCCATTCTTATCCCTAAAGATTCACTGAAATCAATTACTGTCTTGCTATTCCAAAATTCAAGGAAATGCCGGGCCCAAATGTCTCTTGCCACAATAAAACAAGTGGTGCTTTAACATATTCAAAATGCAGGGCTAACCACAGGCAAACTCCTGTGACTTCGAGAATTACTCTCGGGTTAATCTGAAACTCTTAGCTGTTGCCTGTACTCCCTCAACTTCTAGAACATGGAAAAGGGGTTTATTAACGGAGGAGTTCAGATCATCTTGTGAGAAAGGCTGTGCCATCTTTTCAACAACTATGTGATGTCAGCAGGGGGCACTGGTAAATGGGAGATGGAGCTCTGATTTGCAGCATCTGCCATATTTCCGTGGTACAAATACTCTCACAAGGGCCAACTGCAAGTCACTAAAACAAAGTCACTGAACACAGGTTTAGACGTGCGGTGACACATTATCTTGAGTATTTCCATCACATAGAAATAATAGATATAAGTAACACCAAGAGCACAGTTTACAGGAAAACATAGTAAAATAATTAGGAAGTGATGAGTTTTAAGAATCTATTACCTTTGTTTTTAATGTATGTACTTATATGTTTCTATAACTTAAATTTTAATAATAGTTGTGGTTAACGATCACCTTGCAAATTTTTAAAAAATTTAATTACCAGCTCTCTTGAGCTTGTACAAGCAACTTCAGCACACCAGTGGATATAACAATCGAGGTCTCTGAATTCTCACATTAGCATTTACAACGTAAATACTAGTGCCAGACAAGAACAATATTATCAGCACACCACAGAGAAAGCACATGCGCTTCAACCCCTGAACTCCTGGTGTAGCAAGGCTTTGCCTCTGATGAAGTTCTCACAGTGTTTGCAATATGACTGACAGCAGTAACAGTCTAGTTTTTTACTTATTTTTTGCTTGCTTTCCTTAAAACAGACGGTTCACTCAACTTTATTTTGGGAATTCTATTTTCACTAAAATGCAGCTAGAACCACATACTACTAAAATTAGCATACGTGGCTCATATTTCTTCATTCTAATAAAACTATTAATGTGAACTTGCATAATATGTTTTCTTATCCCCAGTTGAAGGAATCTGTTAATTTCAAACACTTAGAAAGAAGATTATTTCCTGTGACAAAATAATCTGCATGCCAAATTTGACATTACAACTGACCAAATCCTGAAAATAGCCATAGTACAACACAGGCCACTAAAATCAAACTGTGATGAACAGAACAGTGTTAATTATTCTTAGAGAGTATGCAGTGCTATATTTCTCAGAGAAAAATAGCTAATCGGCTTATTAATATCACTGTTCAAAAAGATTTAAATTCTCACAAGTTAAATAATCAAACAGTTCTTGCATTTGAAATTTCAGAATAAAATTTAATCCAGAATTTATCTACCACTTCCTTTTCAAAATTGTATTGTTGGAGAAAAGTGGTGTCTGCCATAGGGGAGATAAACTGATTAGGAGTGAAATTCTTCCATTCTGATATCCCTTCCAAACAAAACAAACTTACGTTATTCTTTTTTTTTTTTTCTTTTTAGAGGGAGAGAACGGATTTCCAGATGATTCCTATCTAGATAGATGGTGGTACAAGTATCTGATATCAGTGGCCCCCGGTGTGGTGGGCAACATTTGGGAGGATCTAGTTTGTTTTCAACCCACTCCACGTTAGAAAGAAAATCAACATCAAAATACTATAGCCAAATATCCATTTTTATTCATAATTCCCTGCCTTTTCTCCTCTCCCACATTTCCCATTTGACATTCTCCAAGCTTTTATTTTTAGTCTCATTATCATTGCTTTCTTGTATTTTGTTCATTTGTTGTTTCTTATTACTGATTTGAGCAATCTGATGACTCTGTTGAAATTATTCCCAAATCTGTCTCTCACTCTCTCTACACCAAGCTTCACACACATATTTTCAACCTTTGCTGGGCACTTCCACACAGATGTCTCATATCCAACCCACAGCAAATCTTTATTTTCTCCCCAACCTGTTCCTCCTCCTGATTAGCTCTTCCTGACATCCATATAGAAAGCTCAGAATCATCTGATTTCACTCGTCATTCTTCATCTCCCTCAGCCAGTTCTCAAATGTGCTGTTTCAGCTTCCCCCGAATCTCTGCAATGGCCACTCTCATCATGCCCACCAACACAGCCCTGGCAATGCCCTGTCCTTTCACGCCTGGGGATGGAATGGGCCCCCATGCATGGGGCACTCTGCAGTCTCTAATGTGCCTGCTCCAGGCTCCGCCCTGCCTCCGGTAGCTCTAAAACCAAGTCTGGTCACTCCTTCACTTAAAAGTGTCCATCAGCTTCTTACCTCAAGAATCAACCTGAGACACTACAGCCTGGGGGTTAAAATCTTCTGGTTCAGGTGTTAGCCCACCTTTCTCACCACAACCCCCACCCCAGTCTATGCATTACGGAAGTATACTGTCTGCCACATGAGACTGTGCTAGTTCCTGACAAGGCCACCTTGAACTTCCGCTCCCAGCCTAAGGGCCATATAATATTGCTCAGGATGGAATGTCCTCCTGCCCTCTGTCCCTGGCAGAGTTCCATTCATTCTACAAGGCCCAACACTAATCCCACTCCCTCATGAAGCATTCCTAAATACTCTAGTTAGAACCCATCATTCCTTTCTGTACAATCCCACAACACTTACCTGCATTTCTGATCCTTGCCTGTGTTGTAGTTGTTCATTGTAAAGTTAGCAAAAACATCACCAGAAACTTTCACTCTCTGAAACACGGTTCTACATATATTAGCTATTCAAAATGTTGAAAAAACATAAGCACCTTATAACATGGAGAATTAGTATAAAGTAAACTAATCAGTAGAGCTAACAAACATGCAATCTATGGATGAACAGAATAAATAAAAAGTTACTAAAGTCATTACCATGATGTATAATTCCATTTTCTAATAATGCTTGTCCCAAGTGAACACCTTCTTCAGGCCTGTGAATCTCTCCGATTTCCAACAGCCATGACACAAATTCACTGCAGCAGAAATCCAATGAAAAGGTTAACTAGTTAATTTTTCCCCCAGGAAGTCTATCTGTGCATGCATTCATCAAGCAGCTATGAAAGGTGTCTCAAAATAGAAAGGACTATTTTTAGTGTATTTCAGCAATCACTTTTCATATCCATAAAGCTCAGTTATTTAAACTGAACTCTTCTAGACCACCGATATCTATACATTCAGACTTCCCTAAACTATACTTCATAACTATTTAACTTGTTGAGACTTCTAATAAACACAAAGGGAAAAACAATTATAAGGTTACTATCCACATAAAGGCAAATTTTGGACTAAAGAGTATGCAACAGATCCTAAAGATAGCTAGAGGAGAGAACTAGAGAGAATAATAAGAACTAGATAGAGTAATTAGAGATAAACTCCTTTTTAAAATTTATCAATTACCATTTACTTTCAGTATTATTTTATATTGGTTTCAGGTGTACAGCATAGTGGTTAGACAATCATAGTCATAGGGATGTAAAGTATCGGGAATATAGTTAATAATAGTGTGATAACTATGTATGGTGCCAGCTGGGTACTGTGGGGGAACAAGGGGAACATTATGTAAAGTGTATGATTGTCTAACCACTAAGCTGTACACCCGAAACTGATACCAAATAAAAATTTTTAAAAACTGCTGATACCTGCAGTGATTCCATTGACCAAGACAAATCATAGATGTAAAGATATGAGTAAACAGAATTGGGCATAAAGTACTTAAAATGCATTTATTGGTAGTACCCAGTAGCCAGATTCAAGTATGTCTCCTCAAACAATGAGACAGATGTAGGTAGGTAGGTAGGTAGATAGAATTACTGCAATCATCCCAGGCATTCCCCGCGGTGG